AAATGTACAAATGTGCTGGACACAATGGATGTATGTGTGGATTGTGAGAAGCGTTGTATGAGCCCCTAATAAAATGATTTTTTTTTTAATGTATGAACATCCTAGGAACTACATTATGAATTGTTTGGAAACAGGGTTTTTCTTTTATGTGAATGTGGTCACACCACAGTCAGTGGGTCCTAAATCTAATCACCTCTAAGTTATTTTTTTTTAAAGAAAGAAAATTAGACGCAGGTACACAGAAGGAACGATGTGGTATGAAAACAAACAACACACACACCCCAGATGCATTTTATACGCCCTGGAACTGCCAGGAAGATCCTGCAGCTGGTTTCCCCCTAAATTGAGCCTTCTGGTCTCCTGAGTGAATGGTCCTTGTCCACGTACAGAAAGCAGTCATCAAAAATTGGAATCAATGGTAAAAGAATGATGGCAACATATGTACAAATATGCCTGATACAATTGATGTATGGATGGTTCTAAGAGCTATAAGAACCCCTAATAAAATGATCTTTTAATAAAAAAATTTTTAATGAAACCAATGATATTGAGTGATTTTTTTTTCCCCAATAGAACTTGGTCTAAACTTTGTCTACCTTCGTCTTTCTGTACGTTAAAGAAATGAAGCTCCCGACTGGGTTCTGATTGGGCTGCTCACCACAAGGTCAGCCGTCCAAAACCACCCTGGGAGAAAGACGAGGTTCCTGTAAAGAGTCGCAGCCTTAGAAACCCACAGGGGAAGTTCTGCCGTTTCCTGTCTGGTCACTCTGAGTATGAATCGACTCAATATCAGGAGTAAGGAGATTTAAGATTAAGTCGTCTCGATTAGAATCTTTTTGGATGGTGGTTCCTTCCACACCTACTTTGTGCAGGAGCCACAGCAACCCTGAGGATATCAGTGATCCCTAAGAGCACAGCGGTGGGATGGGAGTGGTGTCGCTGGGCCAGCGGTGCTCACCTACCTGCCCAGCCCTGAGCACTGGGGGCAGGCTGCCAACCCTGGAAAAGTAGAGTACCTGGGCCTGGACTTGTTAGGGTGAGTCACCCTCTCTTTGGTACAAACAGCTGTGGGCTGGTGCACATGGGGGTGTTATTCAGCCGCTGAGTGGAGGCTACAGGACTGGCAGCATTGCCCTGAGCCCTCCTACAGCCCTGTCCTTGACTGGGGAATGACCATGGAGGGCAGGGCTCTCAGCGTGGACACTGCTCCACCTTGAACCCAGGTGATCTTCTGTACTTGGGGTGTCCTGTGCACCGTAGGATGTTGAGCAGCACAGCTAGCCCTCACCCACTCGACACCAATGGTTACTCCCAAGTGTCTCCTGACACTGCCCCCATGTCCCCTTGGGGAGGAGACTCGTACCTGAGAGAGAACTGCTGGTCTAAGGGCAGAAGCCCAGGAGCAGCTGCTGTCTGTCACTCTTTGGGACAGACAGACAGACAGACAGAGGGGCTTGTGCTGAGGACACACATAGCTCACACAGCCTCCAGGCAGGACACGAGTCACATCTATGTTCTCGAAACTCTGGGCTTGAAACAGAGATGTGTCCAAACATTGGAACTGGTCCCGTGCACTGCCCAGCCTGCAGACCTCACAGAAGACCACACCTGTGAGGCGTTCCACTGGAGCAGCCTTCTGGAATGTTCTTCCACTCTGGCCAGGTACAGCTGTAGCCTATCCCCTGCTGTCCAATGGGTCTGACTCCTAGCAACCCCGTAGGACAGAGGAGGCCTGCTCCTGACAGTGTCTGCGCCTGTAAATCTTGATGGGGGCAGCCTGCTTCCTCTTGCTCCCTCCCAGTGGCTGGTGGGTTTGAACTGCTGCCCGATGCTTAATCCATGGCATCACCAGGGCTCCTTTGAGGAGGGTGAGAAGTCAGCATGTCACACCACACTGTGGTGATGACAGCCCAAGCTGGGGAGGCCGGAGGGGCCGAGGGGAAGCAGAGTAGAAGCAGGAGTTTCGGTCAGCCTGGGCCTCCAGGATGACCTGGGCTGGAGACTTGCCCTGTTTCCCCTGACTTGGTCTGTGTGCTGTGTGGTCTGTGTGAGGACCCCAGGCAGGGTCTGGAATCGGGACGGTGCCCTGGCCAGGGTTTGGGATCCGGGGTCCTGGGCAGTTGTGTCTACCAGGCCGTCTGCCCAGTCAGCTCCCAGCTGCTCAGCGAGGCACCTCACCCCCACTCCCAGACGTCCACAGCCTTCATCTCTCCTCTTCTTACGCCCTCCTGAGAACTTCGGTGAGGATCCCTGTCCCAGCTGCCAGGAGCAGTGAGTGGCTCCCAAACAAGCAAACGGTTTCTTCTTTTGGGTTCTGGAACGCCCTGCCTGACCATGGCTCTCATTCACGCTGGGTCTGAGTGCAAGCCTCTAACGGCCACCAGCACTGCCTGACCGCGGCAGCACCACAGCCCTGACTGAAATTTGGGGACATTGGGGGACTCTGAGCAAGAGGCTACAGGGTGTTTGCCCACCGCTACTGGTGGATGCAGCATCCCAACCCCTGCAGAGTGGGCACCGTGGGTTACCTGGCTGGTCTTTCTAGAGCCTTCCCCCTAAGACATTTTAGCAGCATGGCTGAAACTGCCCGGGGAGGTCAGAGCCTCTGTGTATACACAGGGCTCTAAGGGCTCCTAGCACCGGTGGGGTTGCTGGCCGCCCATGTACCAGAAGTTGGACCCAGGGGTCTTGGTTACAGGCTTGGATGGCAGGACAGGTCACAGAGGCTGGTGGGGGAAGCTGCAGTTTCTGCAGAGGGCGCTAGAGATGAACTGCCCATCCTGCCTGCCAGGATGTGACGAGACAGTGGTGACAGGAAGGCACCCCCTCACCCAGGGGGCAGGGCTGCCGGCTCTGGAGCACCTTCTCGGCTGCATCTCCTCCTGCCTGAGCCCAGAGGGGGTCTTCCCCTTACCAAGCCCCACACGCACCTGTCTAGGATGAAGATGGCTTTTGACCACAAAGCGTGAGGCCCGGCTCGCTTCTCTGTCAGTATCCCAGAGAGTCAAGTCCAACGGGGTCCCCAAAGGCTGCTTCAGTCAAGAGCATTTAATAAATTTATGTATTTACATTCTCGCACACATGGACATGCACACACACACACAGACACACACAGACAAATACATGTGCAGAGAGACAGACACACCCACCCACACGTGGACACACACACGCACAGACACACGAGTGTAACAGGCTGTAAATAAGCCAAGCGACACACACACAGACATGTGGTCCAGTAGCTCCAGTGTAGAGGACTGTGCATGAGGGATCTTGTGCATGAGGGCCTTCCCAACTCCCTGGGGGCACCCCCTTCCAGCATAGCCTCTAGTTGCCCAGAGCCATTCGGGAGAAAATGGGGTGCCCCACTCAGTTTTGCAAACTCAGCTCCCTTCTTCCAGCGTTGTGCCCGGCACAGGGCTCACGGTCCCCGTCCCAGTGGTGGAGAAGCAGCCGTCACGAGGCCCTGTCTCATTCCACGCGTGACCACAAAGGCAGAATGCCTGCTCACAAGGACACACTCCAGCTGATTTCCCCAAAGGGCCTCCTTGCTCAGGGTCCCTGGTGGTTCCTGTATAGTCTTCTTAGCCAAGACGTGGTCCCGCTGAGGCAGCCCCGGGAGGCCTCTCTGGTGGGGGGCAGCTCCTTGTCCCTGTAAGGGATGCAGTTGGCGGCAAGTCTGTCCACCTCACTGCCCCGAGTTTCACAAAGGGACCCTTTTGCCAGCTGCCGGGTGAAGCATCGCCCCAGCCATGTCCGTTGGGTGGGGGCGGGGGTGTCCTGTCAGAGAGGGCCTGGGAAGAAAGAGGGGAGAGGCGGTGAGACGCCAGCCCAGAACCGTGAGAACACAGCACTGAGCTCAGGAGGGGCTGCTCCCAACACGCCGCCTGCCAACAGCTTGCCTCATTTGACCAGGATTAAGAACAGGCCGGCCCTGCTTTTCGGGGAGTTGTGTTCTAAAAATTCCCTAAACCTGGCTTAGCAGATGGGCCTTTGGCAGCAGCTCCTGCTGCCAAGCGGAGCAGCACAGCCATGTAGACCCTGGCTGGCTCCCCTGGGCCGGCAGGGGGTGTGAGGGTGCCCCCCCCCCCCAGCAGACCCCTTTCCCAGTGGGAACAACAGGGCTCAGGGAGGTTCGGCAGTTTGCCAAAGGCACCGAGACCCGGGCGGTCACCTCTCCCATAAACACAGAGTCTTTAAGACAATTGTCCTGTTACAGAGCGGAGGACACCAGTCTGCGATCCCAAGACTCCAGAGGGTCAGGGCACCCTCTGAAATGGGGAGGGAGGGACAGGCGTGAGGAGGTGGGGCACCGGGATAAGGAGTAGGGGGTGAGACTGGGCATAGGTGGCCAGGGGCTAGAGCAAGGGCAGTGGGGAAGGAGGGCAGGGTGCTTGGGGCTCATCACAGGCGTCTTCTCCGCTTTCATTGGTTTCTGGAAAATTCCATCATAAAGTGTCAGGAAAAAAAGTACAAAAGAGCATGCCTCCACAGCACAGGGGAGGAGCCAGAAACACCCTCTCTGCACACTCACCGTTGGGCTCAAACTCAGGCCGGGCGCTCCGGGCACCTGTTGGAGCAAACCACAGACGTCAGGGCAGCCGAGGGGCGGCGGCCTCTGGGGCCACGTTCCCTGCCGCGCCACAGTGCTCTGTGCGGGGAAGAGGCGGGCTGCCACGTGCCCGCCACCTTCACATCCTCTCCTTCCTGAGCCCCAGCTTCTGACTCCCCTTTCTGACCGCCACTGTGAGGGGGGCAGCGGGAAATGGAAATGGGGACCCACGCCAAAACAAACATTGGGGTGCACGTTCACGTGCCCTCGGCTCAAGGCACTGTCTCTTGAGAAACAGGCATGAGAAAACTCACTTGGTGCAGCGGCCTGGCGTGGATATACCCACCTCCTGGGCCCCCAACCTCAACTGGCCCTTCCAGAACAGTTCCTTATGAGAAAGCTACCTTTTAACAGGTTCTCTGCTGTTGTGTTGAATATGTGTGAGCTTCTCGGTCCACTGGATCCGAGACACCTTCCAGATTGGGCTGTGGGCCGGGAAAATCCCTGGGGCCAACTGGAATTGGTAACACCCTAGAGGCTGGAGTCCATGGGGAGGGGCCAGCTGCCAGCCAACGCTGTCACCAAGAGCAACTGAGTTCTATTGACACAGTGTTGCTCCATTTGCCCGGAGCCCCTGGGGGCTGCAACTTGTCTGCTACATGGAAAGATCTATAGTTGGAGTCCACCTGGCAGCACGTCGTAAGAAGGACCCGGCAATCTGCTTCTGAAAACACAGCCCCTGAAAACCCGCAGGACGCAGTTCTCCTCGGACGCAGGCACGGCTGGGCCACCGTGCATCGGAGTCCACCTGGCAATCGGCTTGGGTTTCTTGGTTTATTTACTACGTCATGGTCGAACAAGCAGGGCCTACATGGTTGAATGGTCAGGCTGGGAACCACAAAGAAAGGTGGTTCCATCAGTGGTCTAGTTCTAAAAAAGCCAGCCATGGACAACTCTACGGGGCCCAAGTCTACGTGGACACTCGTGGCTCACCATGACTCAGGGGTTTGAGGGCAACTGATTAGTCTTTTCCGTGGCCCCCAGTCTCTAAGCAGTGTCCAGGAAGAGCCCTGACCTTGTACCGCATATCTCTGGGTGGCTGCTAACCTAGGAGACTCCCCTGTGCCCCTGGGGTGGGAGCTGGGCACAGTGGGCACTATGGGCTCTACCCAGAGCTAGTGTTGGCTATCGGGCACCATCACCGTGGTCTGGGCCCTGGGCTGCTTCTACCGGTCACAGCGGCCTCTGTTTCTGGGATTTTCCTTGTTAAAACACAGACTTCCTAGATTGATCCTGAAGGCTGGTTGGCATGGCTGATGGGAAGCCAAGCCGATGACGTAGGGCAGGCTCCGCCAGCTCCTTCAGAGGCAAATTTGACCCTGACCTTAAAATTAAGACTGGGCTCCGCCTTTTGACATGGGAATATTGGGAATATTGGGCTTCAGACAGACAAACTTCCTGGGCTTCACGTTCACTTCCTGGGAGTGTTGAGGGTGCTAGCGCTGGTGAGTGAGTGCAAATGCTGATTTCTGAGCAGAGTTCAAGCTCGCAGAACGAGGCCACGCCCTCCACTTAGAAAATAAGTGTAGACCGTCTATACCATGGGCCTCGTCTGGTACCTGTGTAGTTTCCACAGGAACATCTCTTCCTGCAGAGCAAGCCAACAGCCACGCCAGTGATCAAAGCCAGGGTTCCCAAGATGATAAGAACGACCGGCACTCTCTCCTGGTCCTTGAACGGGGGGATGTCTGTGATCCGGCCAGAGGAGAAGTCTACAAGAAAAGGGAAATAAACCAAGACTTAGAGGGCGAGGAAGAAAAGGATCTATTGCTCCCCCCTCCACCTTAAGAAGAGAGCACCGTGGGAAAGAACTTATGGCGAAGGCCCTGGTCGACCCGTTTAGCGATTTGTACACAAGAGCTTCAGAAAGCTCGGGTGGGGAGAACCACAAACCTGTGATCTTGTCATTGCATGTTTCCACCAACTCTTTGGCCCATGAAGTGACCTAGAGAAAGGCTCTCTTTGAGGGGGGGGTGTCCTCTGCCCCCCGAGTCCTCCCATCCTCCTGCCTGTGTCTGTCCCCTGTGATTGATTGCTGGGCATGGTCTGATCGGCCTTTCTACGGGTCTACACACGCAGGTACGCTTGGTTGGGAAATCGGTTTCTGGGGTGAAATCCACAGAACATAAAATAAGCCAATCAAGGGCACGTAGTACATTTGCAATGCTGTGCAGCGACCCCCATCCCTACTCCCACCCCCAACTATTTCCACACCGTTCCCAAGAGGCACCCCCACATTCGCAGGGAGTCACTCCCCGCCTCCTCTCGCTCTGCTCCAGCAACTACCCATCTACCGTCGGTGGATGTCTCCTACCGGCAGGGCCCCTGTTCTGCCTGGCTCATTTCACCGGGCGGGCGTCACGCTGTCCAGGCTCGGCCCTGCTGCAGCACACACCGCGACGCGATTCACTCTGCCCATGCTGCTGTTAGGGACCGTCAAGTCCGTCTGACTCACAGCGACCCACCGCACCACAGAATGAGATACCGCCCAGGCCTGTGACACCCTCGCCCCTGTTCTTAGGCTGAAGCCCATCGATGCAGCCACCTGGTCACCCCCTCTTGTCAAGGGTCTTCCTGACGGCTGTGTACACCATTCATTTGCTTATCCACGCCTCCACTGAGGGACCGTGGACGGGGCGGCAATAAATACGGTGTCTTTAGACCCTAGGTATATCCCTAGCAGTGGAATTTCCAAGGTCCCCTGATAATTCCATGCTGACGGCATGTCGCCCCCCCCCCCCCAATATTATCAAACTTTCTGTTGTAAATGGGGTAAAGGTGCGGGGAGCAGACCACCAGTTTTACACCCAACAATTCACACCCGTTTTGTTTCAGCTCCGCTCACTCCCACTCCTCCAGGACATCACTGATCCCACTTCCTCCCTGTGTTTCCGGTCTCCCTTCTTCCTTCTTCCCTAACCCTCTGAACTTTTGTCCTTGGGCAAACCTTTTCAGGAACTGCCACATGCCTGCCAGATGCTGAATTACGTTGGTTACGATGCCACTGGCAGTGAATGAGGGCTCCGAGGGCTCCTCTCCAGTGGGGTTCTCACGGTCCAACGGGCACCACCACCCCGGAGCCGTCCACTGCACATGCCCAGGGCTTCTCGAAGCACATCTGAACAAATAGTGGCCTCGACTGAGGAGCCACCGTGGAAGCTACTTGGAACCCTCTGGAAACTCTGGAAAGGTATTCGGAGGCCAGGGCTGGCGTAGAGATTCTGGTCAGGGAGGTCTGGGGGCACAACCCAGGCGTGGGGACTTTTACAGGCTGCTCAGGTGACCCTGCTATGTAGCCAGGCCCTGAACCATTACCCGAGAGGAGCCAGCCACTCAGGTGCCACCTTCCAATGCTATTTTCAAGTAATGTTATGAAGCAGGCTTTAGGGTGGGGGGTGGAGGGGTGGCACAAGCCTTTCCTAGTCATTTAGGAGGGCTGACAGTGAGCTTTGAGCTGCAGAAATTCAGGACTCCTGATTGCAGCAAGAAGGGTGTCCTGGTCCTGCAGGGCTCTCCAGTGGTCAAGGCCACCTTCACCCAGGCCCCGGGCTGGGTTTAATGCTTTCCCATCGCCACCTTGAAATCCTTCCAAATCGGAGAACACGGCACCTTGCATTTTCATTCTGTGCCAGGTCCTGCTGGCTGCAGCGCACAGAGCCGGCCCCACACTACCTGTGCCTCTACCTTATACCTGTCATCCTAGCATGGGCGACAAGGGGACACAGAGTGGGAGCATCTGTGAAAAAGGAGTCACCTGCCCACGCCTTCCATGGGGAGGACCAGGGCCAGCAAGCTGGCCTCTGGAGTGAGTGCAATTCTCCTCGGACAAACACGGGAGCAGCATGTATCGGCGCTGTGTCTGCCATGTGGAGTCCCCGTGCAGAGACTGTGCCTCTGCCTGAGAGCACCCCTGCCCCCTCCCCCAACCTCGGGTGGGCGTGGCAGACACACCTGAGTCCTCTCTGATCTGGCTGCTGCTAGTCAGGTTCTGGTGCAGCAGCTCGTTCTCGATGCAGCACTGCACGTTCACGGTGGGTGCCCACCGGACCCTCAGCACGCTGACCACATTGTACAGGCCACGCTCATTCAAGAACACAGTGTTGTTCTGCAGTGCCTCGTCCAGCAGGCTGTTGTCCGTGCGGTTGACCCAGTAGACTTTGGGCTGCGGGTAGCCATTGGTGGATGTGCATGTGAAGGTGACCTCCTCATCCTGCGAAGGGGCGGTGGGGGTGCTGACGACGGGCATGCTGTAGTTGGCTGCAGAGGAGAGAGGCCAGAATGAGGGGTGTCAGCATCTGAGGGTCACAAAACAGAGGGGTGCAGCATGGCTAGGGCCGGGCAGAGGAGGGTGGCCTGCAGTACCTCTGAACGTGGTAGGGGGAGAGGCCAGGGCCAGGTCTCAGAAGCAGGTGGAGGCTCGGTTCTAAGTCCCTCCCCTCACCCTCCAGAAACTCAGCTCCCTGGCACGGAGTCAGTTCTGATGCACAGCGAGCCTCCAGGACAGAGGGGACCCTGCCTTTGGGTTTCTGAGACTGGAAATCTTGCTGGGACCAGACAGCCTCAGCTTGTTTTCATGGAGCAACTAGTGGCTTCAAACCACCAACCTCACAGTCAGCAGCTCAACATGGAACCTATTACACCACCAGGGCTAATTCTCACTGCCATCGAGTCATTGGCGACTCCTGGCGGCCCTTAAGACAAGGTTGAACTGCGCCCGTGGGATTCCGAGACTACACCTCTGTACAGGAGTAGGCAGCCTCTGGGCTCCTTAGTGGGCTTAGTTTTCCACTAAATTCCAATCTTACTTGGTGTCTCCCAGCACTCCCTCCCCATTTCATAAAACAACAACAGCAGCAGCAGCAGCAGTCGAGTTTGCAAAGTTCAAGAAAAAGACAATGAGATTAGGAGCTATTCTGTAAAACCACCAGCCTCAGCCTCTGGGAAAATTTCTTCCATGTCGAATGATTATTGTTCCAACGACATCCAGCTTCCAGCCACAAGCAGAAGCCTGTTAACCCCAATTAGGGTTCTCTCTGCAGGAGGCCAACAGATGAACAGGCCAGGGAGATTCATTAAACTCAGAAAACCATTCATTCGTACAAGGCTTTCTGTCATAAAGGGATACATTAATAATTAATCAAGCTACATTAATTATTAATATTTTCTAGAATGAGAGGAGGAGGAAGAAAGTGTCCACCAAGATTCCTGGGGCCCCCGTGTGAGTTGGAGGACGACTGGGCCCCAAGCTGTTTTCCGTGGCTGATTTTTGAGAAGCAGAGTGCCAGGCTTTTCTTCCGAAGCGCGTCTGGGTGGACTTGACCCGTCCACCTTCCAGTTCGCAGCTGAGTACGTTCACGGTTTGCACCCCCAGGACTCCCCAGGAGGTAAGGCTGGATTGAGACCATATCTCCGGCTTCTATGGCCTTACCTGCCACGTGCAGTTTCACCAAAACTTCTAAAACCTTGTCAAATCCCTTGGACTTCCTGATGACCACGCAGTGGAACCTCTGCTCGTCCTGCAGGGTGATGTTGCGAAGCTGCAGGGAGAAGTCCCCCCGCTCCATGCGGTGCAGCGACAGCTCGGCCCGGTGCTGGTAGTGGTTGTCTTCGTGGCCTGGAGAGCTGTTCCCAGGGAGGTAGTAGGTCACCACAGTCTTGGGCTCATTGATTTGCCAATAAACGTAGAAATCATTTAAATCAAAATTGGTTCCTTCAGGGTAAATGCAGCTGAGCTCCACACTGCTGCCCACCATGCCTTGGACCTCCTTCTCTTGAATGCCGGCTCTGGGACCATCTGCGGGGATGGAAAGAGGACAGCTAGTTTTCCATGCTGGGCTCTGAGTCTGGGACGCCAAGCACGGGGCGGGCTTCATATTTGAAAGCCTCCGACACCAGGCTTGACTCGCATCAAGTGGAGAAGCAAGGTCCCAGGGAGATCTACCTCTCCATCACCGGATGCTGTCAAGTAGATTCTGACTGGGGCAACCGCGCGCGCGTGTGCCACAGCAGAGCTGGGCTCCCAGGGCTTTTCGGGGGCTGAGTTTGGCAAAGCAGATGCCTAGCTCTATTTGTCTGAGGCACCTCTGGGTGGACTTGAACTTTCAACTGGTTGGTTAACAGCGAATCGCTTAATCATTTGCTCAGCCCTAGGACTCAAGATATACTTCCAAAGCCCAACTCCATTGACATTGAGTCTATGCTAACTCAGAGTTACTCTACATGGGGTTTTTGAGACTGTGAGTCTTTCCGGGATTTTTAACGGATACATCCCATAACCTCATCTTTCTCCCATCGGCTCACCGCTTAACCCGCATTGCCACTAGGACTCCTTACGGCGTACAAACATACTTGAGAAGCTCAGACTTTGACTAGAATGGGCGCGGTCTGATATCAATTTCCTGGTGTTGATACTGCGTGATATAGAGTGTAAGAGGCAACCCTTGGGCCCAGCTGGGAAATGGGTACACAGGGCCACTCTGTAATTGTTGCAACTTTGCAGGGAAGGTCGATAATTAATTTAAAAATAAGAACCTCTTGAAAAAGTCAGAGACTTGCTGCTTTGAGCCCTGTGCTCCTTTAAGAACTGTCCAGGTGGGGTCAAAATGACCAGGGCCACTAGAAAGGCCAGATGGAAACCTTAGGGGCCAGTGAGCTGACGTGAAAAGGGGAAGGAGGGAGATGGTACAACTCAGAGATTGTCATCTCTGCCCCTCCGCTGACGTGCCCTGTAGGAACGCCACCAGGGTCTGCGGTGCATACTCTCAACAGCAATAGACACGAAGTAAATCATTATGGAAGACTCGAATCTTTAAACGGAAGCATCCATTTCGCAACGACAGGATGTTCACCGAGCTACATTGTAAAAGGTCCCGGAGACAAATGCGAGGTGGGGGGGAGGGGGCTTCAAGAGTTGGTGGGAAAAATCAAATTGAATAGGATTTTCCACGAAAACGTCCCACGAAGTTTTTGAAGCCCCCTCACAGAGAGTAACTTTCCTGCGACAACTGCTTCCGTGACTACAGAAAACGTGACTACAGAAAATGCCTGGTGCCTCTGACCGTCCCTTTGGGCTGGGCAAGGCCTGGGGGCACGGGGGCACGGGTGTGGCTCTGCGGTGGTGAGAGCCCTCTGGGAAGCAGGCGGACTTCTGCGCTGTACACGGTTGACTGGGGTGAAGAGCGTGGAGAAGCAGGCAGGCGCCCTGGAGGGCTGAAGCCCCCAGCTCATCTGGTGGAGAGAGGAACTGAAACTCATGGAGGAAGTGCATCCCAGTTCTGCCAGACACTAAGTGAAACAAGAACTGTGGAGTTGAGAGAAGGTGCTCCCCCGTGGCTTTCAATTTTGCGCCTGACGACCACTCCAAAAGGGGGTGGTTCTGAACTCACCCGACGGCGCTGTGGGCGAAAGGCCTGGCAATGGGCTTCCCAACAGCTCACAGCCAAGACACCCTAGGGAGCAGCTCTCTAACACACGGGGCTGCCGTGCCCTGGAATTGATTCCACAGCAACGAGCTTGGGAGACCAAACAGGAAGGCTGGGCCCGAGTTAAAAGCCGCCCTTACTTACCGGCTCGCAGGCCACTGAGCAGCAGCAAGAGCAGAACAGGGCTGAAAGGAAAACGCAGATGAAAAGGAGGTGAGACACAGCCCCACAGGGTGCGTGGCCTGCTTCTTGCAGCAGGAGGAGAGTTACGCCATCCTCATCAATGTGAACACAGGTACCGTGAGCCTGGGCCAGGGGTCTGGGAATTCAAAGAGAGGAGCCAGGCATCCCCACCTTCTTCCCAGTACAGCAACCCCCAAGGGCTGGGTGTCCTGACAAAGAGCCACTCCTGCATTAACAAACAAACAAACACACACACACACACACACAATTATCAAATAGATACTCACAGAGACCTTAGAGGGCAGGTAAAACTGTCCCTGAGTTTCGGAGATGAACTTGTAGGGGGAGGTCAGATATTGTAATATCTCTCATGCTCTCGATGACTCTAATATAATACTTATATATCTCAACCGTACAATTGTGCATTACTGAACCCAGAAGTAGTATTACTGAACCAGTGAGTTCTATCAGTGGGTGGGGCTGGCACCCCACTCCTCTTCACTCCCCTGCGCCATTTTTTAATTTAATACTACACGAACTCCTTATGGGAGTAGAGAGCCCCGTCTTGTTCCCTAGGTGGTGTGGTTACCTGTTGGGCTGATAACTGTAAGGTCAACAGTTCAAAACCGCGCACACACACACACACACAAACTCACTGACATTGAGTTGATTCCCCAATCCTGGTGACCCTATAGAACAGAGTAGAATTGCCCCCTGTGAGTTTCTGTGAGACTGTAATGTTTATAGGAGTAGAAAGCCCCATCTTTCTCTCCTGGAGGGACAGGTGGTGTCAAATTTCGGGCCTTTCAGATCACAGCCATTATGCCCCAGCAGGAACAAAATCACCGGCAATTGTGGATCTGTGTACCTAGGACCATCTTTCAGCCAAGGCAATTTCGGGTTTGTGAGAGCCACCACTACAGCCAGGGGCTTTGACTCCCAGACACCTGTCCCGGGAAAATAGTTGAACCCAGTAAAAAGCTTTCAGGGCATTTATAGCAGCTGAGAGAGAGAAAGCTTCTAACAAGCCCAGCAGTCAGGTTGGGTGAATTTAAAGGACAAGGCAGGGAGCCGGATTGTTCTGAATCGGAATCTGGTGGTTCCCTCTTTCAGGTGCTCCAGCATCTCGTCCCCCACAGCCTGAGCCAGCCACACTTGGAGAACCTTCAGCCTGGGGCCCCTCGTCTTCTATACATGACTCATCCCAGCACCCCTACACCTACGGGGCTTCAGGGGACAAAGGGCTTCTCATCTGCCCTTCAGAAATCAGGACTACCTGGTTCCAGTACTGAACCCAGACCCTCATGACAGCAAGGTCCAGGGTGCCTATCATCTCCAATTTCCCAAGTGGCCAACATGCCGTGCCCCCAAAGTCTTCATCCACCTGCTGTTCTGAATCCTCCCAAGCTTCACGGGAGTCATAGGTGGGACTCTGTGTCCACCCTTGCTCCACCCTGGACCGCTGCCACAGGACCTGCATCTCACACCTGGCACCCCTGTCCTCTCCTGAAGGAGGGGCTCACCCTCTCTTCCCCTCCACACGCTCCTACTGAGAGCGCCATATGGCTTTGGGCGACGGCTGTGGTGACGGCAGGCCCTTGTTTCTCATCAGCTGAGTAGGGGTGCCATTCGTGACCCCCGTTTCCCTCCCAGCACACCTAAATCTCTGAAGGGCCATGGACTGTCTGTGCTCGAAAGTCCCACTTGCAGGGTCTCCTCAGGGCATCGGGTGCTTTCTGGAGAGTGGGAAGGGTGCGGGCGATGGGCTCATGCTCCCTTTCTGGGTGCAGCTGCCTTGCACCTCTCTGAATCCCACCCAGAGCCCCCATCAGACCCTGCTCTCGGGCCAGCCTCTGCCCTCTACCAGCACCCACCACCCCAGCCTGATCTGAAAACTCCATTTTCACCCCCTGCCACCCTGCCTCCCAGCCCTCTCCCTGTCCATGGCTGTGGCAGTCCAGGGTCACTGACTCCTCTCTCTCTCTGGATCTAATAATAAACACATTTCTTGGGTGGGCAGTGTGACCTAGGTGTGGGGGACTGTCTATGGGCAAGGACATCTGGGTTCAGGGTGCTTCCACTGTTCCCCAGGAGGCACAGGCTGCTGACCCAATGACAGGTGCCCTGAAGGGGTTATTTTGACCAAAAGTCGGGGATCAAAGCTGTCACCCCTGCCCACGGCTGGCAGGAGGCTCTTGCCTTAGATGGAAGCTGCACCTGAGGTGCCCCATGTTCTCCAGATTGGAGTTGCTGATGGGGTTCGGGTTCCCAGGTGTGTGTGTGTGTGTGTGTGTGTGTGTGTGTGTGTGTGTGTGTGTGTTTGGAGGAGGTGGACCAGCTGGCCTCGGCACTCTCTATAGAACAACCATCTCAGACCAGCATGGTCACAACTTCCACTATTCTTCCTTCGGGGAAGTACCCCAGGGTTGGGGGGACGGGGGTTGAGTGCCTGGAGCTGTTTATGGGTGGCCAGCCGGGAGAGTGCCAAGCAGCCAGCCTTCCCTCCTTCTAGCACCTGCTCTTCCCAGGGACCCCACCCTCAAACACACCCACGCGCTCGGTCCCTACGTTAGGGTGGTGCCTTAGGGTGGTGCCGGGCCCTCCCCCTGCAGCTCCCGCCACAGGTGGCTGCG